AAACAATTAGTGGAAACAACTTGGAGATTCCAAGTTTTACACACCACCATCTACTTGACTGCTGCACAGGACCTGAAATTCCCTAGAATTTCTCCAGATATCTACCAAGTCTTATAAATAAATGAAGTCTACGACCATATTTACCATGTTTAGACGTGATTACAATTTTACACTGTGAAAAAGACGACAGTGAGACAGATTTACCAAACACAGGAGGGATCAAAGCAGGAGGTGGATAAGACAGATGGCCGTCAGGAGCTTCTCATCCTGTCCATCGTCACACCTGATTTGTTGAATTACTGCTGGTCTCACATGTCAGGATTCAATTATGGCCGAGGCAGCTGTGCAAACTGTTGTCCACACAATTTGTCCATCTGTTAATATGTCCCTGCTGCCAACAGCTCGGCTTCAAAAAGTCTGTTTGATAAAGGAAAGTCAGTCGTGCTGAGACAACTGATTGATCGACTGAAAATTGATAATTGGAGGCAAACATCTACAGAACTAATTTTTCTCTATCTTGTGTTTTAAAATGTTTCTTAGACAAAATCTAACTTTTGGATATCATCATTTTTGGCCTCCAGGAAACTGTGATGGGCACTGCTGGTATCGTACGGACAAAACATGCTATCAAAATAATAATCTTGCTGTGAAGACTTACATGTTTCGGGTTTCCCTCACAAACAGTTGCATTAGAGTAAAGCTGGCCTTATAGACACACTACTGTAAAGGTTCCAGCTGCAGATACATATAAAGCACCAAAGTGCCAGTTACAAATAAAATATGAAACGTTTCTCCGCATTGTTTGTGTGCATTCTAATTCAAACGACTTGAATGCACTTTGACGCAGATGTCCTCCCCTCTTGTTCGTCTGTTCATCTCACACACAGCCGCAGACAAACATCTTATCCACAGAACATCAAACAAACAAATCCTCATTGGCTCTAAAAGACCCAACACAGAAATCTGTAGCCAGACCCCCTTCTCAAAATCTGACCACACGATGAAATGCAGTCACAGCCGACATGTTTATTTACAACATGTCCTCACACTTGCTAAAAAGACATGTTGGATATATTGGTCCTGAAGTAAATCCTATTGTCTTTTGTCTCTTTTTCCCTGAATGGAGCTGTCGGAGTTTGTGTTAATCTTGGAGCGTACACACCCAGGACCTGCCGGACTCACTGTTGATTCACCGTGTTGAAATAAATCCAGGTCTTTGATGTATCATTGTTGTCAGCACTAACCAAATCACTGCCGCGCATGAAAGGAACCCCCTCGGGTCTCCAGAGGAGACGGCAGACTTTCCTTCCACTACTTTTCTCAGAGCCGTCTATCCACAAAGGTGTTAGGAGGGAAAAGAGGGAAACATGGCTGCACATTTAACAAGGCCTTTGTGTTCCTCCGCTCCACTTTTATTTTCCAGTTTTCAAAATAAATTGTCATTTCTTTTTTTCTCCAGCTGTTACGCCACTTCTTCCCCGCCCAGAGTCCCTTTGTAGCTACGAGAGTTTGTTTGAAATGTTACAGAAAAGTGTGCACTTATTTTCCTCCGAGTGCATCCCTGTACCTTGTTCCGTTTGTGCTCTCACACCCAACAACAGCTCTGACGAATGGAGGTACCTCAAACACTTCCTCAAAATGACATGACTGATTTTCTACCTCTTCTCACCACAACAAATCTGCGATGATACCAGGGCGTTGTTCTAGGATCCCAATAGACATCTTGCTTTCATGGTAGCCCATGTAACCCCGTTTCCGCTCGGTTGTCGCTGTTGTTTTTCTTCGTCTTCTTTTTCTTTGTTGCTGTTGTTTTTCTTCTTCGTTTTTTTTATTACATCGTCTGTGTCTCTGCGTTCACCTCTTGCTCTCATCCCTGTCCACAAGTCAGGGCAGGAGAAGTGATGTGTATTGAATTGTATGGTAATTGTGCTGAGAAAAGGGCACACAGTGCAGATACGCTTCTAATGAGACATGGAGGAAGCGGGCTGACCTCTCCGACCGGTGGGCCGTGGACATTTATCATCCCAAACACATTCTGGCTGCAGGGGTGGAGCGGAGAGAGAGTGCACCACCCTCTATTGGAAGCCACGTAACACTGCAGGGTGAGGGAGGGAGGGAGAGAGAGAGACACAACAATAAACAGAAAAAGATGGATTGATTGTGCACAGAGGCCGAGTTGTTCGGTATTGTTCAGCACTAAAGCCCTGGCTGTTTGCATCTTCATTGTAAAGCAGAACTGCGCGCTGCGGATAATTGATTTGGCCATAATTGTACTCCATAAGTGTAAACCACGTAATCACTGCAGTCACTACCCCTGAGCCCGGTGTTGTCAGGCAGGCGAGGATGTCCCACTGCGGCTCTGCGGTCCTCCGAATTTCCGTCCGAGAAAGAAACCGAGGTGATGGATGGACCGGAGCTCCAGCAAGGGGCCGTTACTCACAGTGCACGGCCATAAACATCGAAAATAGGGATTTTTTTCAACAAATCAGTTAAGCTGGGAAACCACATATAACTCGGGTTTACAGTCAGGGTGGTGTGAGACGTTTGCTCTCAGCAGTTTATTTTCTCTGTTTTGCTTTTGATGTTTAACTTTGATTAAAAGGAAATGGATTTCAGAGGAAAGAGCAAAAATAAATTGCTTAGAAAGTGCTCAACTGCAACAAATAACACATAAAAGCCTGAATGTAAAAGTGCAAACATAGTGCTTCTCATGTAAACTTGTTTTTTTTATCTTGGGTGTTTCATCACGACTGATTTTAAGGGAATATTTGAATTAGTAGAAATCACTTAGACTAAAGATTTGCAGTGTCTGACATCAAATATAACTGTTTATAACTGATTTGAGTGTAAATACAATTCGGGGGATGATGTGATAGAGGAGAGAAATGACGGTGCAGGAGAAATGTTTGAATATTATTTAATACAACTTTTGCAGAAAGATGGATGTAATGTCTTGTTTTTATCCTCATAAAATGATAAGTCCCATCCCACAGAACAACAGAACCAACAATCAGCTCTCGAAAATCTTTTAAAAAACGGGTCACAACTATATATAAGCAAATTTCCTAAAATGTCGTTCCTTTGTTGCAAAAGGAAGCCTTTTGCAAAGAGAAACACATATTATATTTGTTATGGTTCTATTTTCAGCTGCAGATTAAAAAACATGTTGACGTCTAGAAAGATTTTTTTTTGCAGTAGGTCATCCGTGAAGAAATGTGTTTTCAAGTGCAGTGGTGTGGCTAATTTATGTTGTAATAGTTTGTAACACCAGTATTTAACTTTATTCTTTAGTCTGAATTGAAAACGACAATAAATAGTTGAGCGGCAACTTATCATCAAACTCGTGCAGAAGATCTTGAAAGAACAAATATTCACCATCATGTCTTGTATTGTAAAATTAGGTGAGACTTTGATAAAGATTTTAAACAGTGTGCGATATCACAGCTGCACCACCAGCTGTGTAGTTCCACACCTCAGCATTCTACATCTCCCCTGTTTTCAGGAATCAGACCTTCATCCGATCCAAATCTTCTCCACGGAGAACTGGAAGCACATTTATTAAAACTCAGAGCATCACCCTGCTGAAAACTGTTAAAGCTTTTCTGCCTGACCCAGAATTTTTCTATTCAAGCTGTTTTTCATCCACGCAGAATTTTCAGCTTCCAAAACTGTTCTTTCCTGCACTTTTCCACCAGGGTGGATCCTTAAATCTGCACTTTGAAGTCAGGCGAGGGTCTGAAGTGTGAACACATGAGAGGGAGACGAGGGAATTTTTTTTTTTTTTTTTTAAATGCAGGCTAGGCCAAAATATGTTCAAGGAAAACCTTGGATCTTACCCCTCCAACAACCCGCCCCCACTCCTCATGCTCAATCTTGGGCTCTCTCCAGCCTTGTTTTAATCGTGTGACAAGTTAACAACAAACACTGCTCAAGACTGACATATAATAAGAATGTTACACGCTCTAATAGGAACGTGATGCACATGAATCTTTCGCCTCTCTGACCATTTTCTGAAAACGCCTTTAACTTGTGTTTTCACCAGCAGCGTTAGATAACCTCAATGTTTGGCTCTGTGAACCACTTCCAGATCCCCAAGTGCAAATTCTTATTTTTTAAGACAGCGAGTATATGTGTGTCTGGATGGCGGAAAAGAGGCTGCAGTGAGTTTTGACTCCGAAGCAGAATACCTGAGAGAGAGAGAGAGAGAGAGAGAGAGAGAGAGAGAGAGAGAGAGAGAAAGAGAGAGGGAGGGAGGAGGCTGCAGCTTGATCAAACCCAGCACTCGGCAAATCAAATAAGTTTGGATGATTTTATTTTTCATTCATTGTTTTTTTTTGTTTTTTTCCTGCTTTGTTTGCATCTCCATCAGCTAAGAGAAAATTATTTGCTCGGCCCCGGCAATCTCCGCAAGAGGAAAAATAAATTGCTTTTTTCGACCCGGCATCATGGTTGTGTGTGGATGTGAGAATAAATTTCAATAGTGTTGCGATTAGTTTCATATCAGATTCTGAAATGAGGGACGAGTTGCTTACATTTTAGGAGAAAAAAGTCCTTTCAGTAAATCCGCATGTGATACTGCAGCACTGTTCCCTATGAAGTACGTTTTCTTTCCACCTGATTAAAATGTGCAATTATTCTCTCCCTCTGATTTCCAGCCAACTCTAAACACTCCTGTTAATGAGCAGTAAAGACCAATTTACCTTGTTTTCCCTCCATCTCTCTCTCCCTCCAACTCCTTTAGCCCACTTCCTCCTCCTTGTGTCTGCTCTACATTTTCCTCATTCTCTTTCCACTGTCTGTCTTCCTCTGCCACTCATGCTTCCCTCATTTATAATCTCACTGTTTTAATCTTGTTCCTCTTCCATTTTTTCTCCTTCGCTATTCAGTTCACATTATCCGCTGGTTTTCTTTTCCCTTTCCCGCCTGTGTCTTTCTTGTTACTACTTATCGTTCTCTGAATCCACTCCTGACACATCTTTTCTCTCTCTGTTGGCGTGCAGAGTTCAGGCAGTGGGTTACCAGCGAGTGCTGCAGGTGGACCTGGAGGTGAACGGGCTGATGGTGACTCAGGGGGGCAGGGAGGTGACATGGCAGGTGGAGTACCCGCTCACCCGGAGCCTGACCAACGAGGTGCAGACCCTCATCCGCCTGGCACCGCAGGACCTGGGTGGCATCGTGCCACTGGCAATGGTGAGGAGGAATTGCAAGCTTGTGTGCATGTGGACTGTGGAGTCCAGTAAATGTATTTGTTCGTGGAGATAGAGATAAAGAGAGATAGAAATATAGATAGAGAGACAGAGAGATAGAGATATTTAGAAAATAAGCGTCCACATCCTCTCAGCACTAGTTCAGTGGCTGTACTAAACCAGCCTGTTTGGAAAGGGTTGTTATTTTGGTCTGTGGTGAATCTGTTTGCAGCTTTACTGTCTGAAACTTTCTAAGTGACCTGCAGTACCTGAGCTGCTCCTCAACCAGAGAAGACCTGCTGCTGAACTCAGTCCACTGAACCTTGAAGCCTCCACTGCTGCACAAAGAGCTGTTCACTGGTTTATTCAAAATTCAGTGTGGTTATGATCGACAATGTTACATCTTCTTATTCAAAGTGTATTTGTATTGATAGATAAGAAGATAGATGCAGAAAAACATGCAATAGCAGTCCTTGTAGTCAAAGTCTAACACAGCAACATTATTTGAAAATTCATCAAAATTCATATGACAAACTAGAGTATGATCCAATAACGAGAACCGATCCATCCGAACCGACCCAGAGAGAAGCACAAGTCATATTTTAAAAACTCATTTTTTCCTACACTTCACAGTTCACTCTCTCCATCTCTTTTCCAAAATTAACATTTTCCTCTTCGATGACACACTTCATGAACAGAGCAGATAAGAGAATCCATGCAGACCCACTCAGGTGTTGGACTCTGACACACACACACCTGAGAAACCTGCAGTTTTAAAATGGGACCGCACTAATCTAAAAAGACTTGAATATAATTTGGGTCCTGTCCTGGTCACCGGGTACCTAAGTGGAAGCGTTAAGACGTCAAGCAAAGATCACACAGCGCAGCCAAAAGCCTCCCGTGTCCGTTATTCTTTGGGTTGGATTTGAAATGTACCGATGACTTTGAGGTTTCAGAGCTGACCTTCGTCTCAGGGTCTGTACTTACTTTTAAGCTGCAAAGTTTTGTGGTTACTGTCAGTCGTGCAGTAATTTCAACACCGAGCTGAGATGGTCTTTGTTTCATTTAAAATCCAGTGTAATGTCAACACCCTCCTCATTATATTTCCTCAGCTGTTTCCTAGAATCATTTGTAGCCTCGACACCGTGAGCTATTTTTTCATAATTGCACAGCTTGTTGTTCATCTTGCAGAAAAACAAATCTGGTGCACGATGGACTTCTCCTTCTTCTGACTGTGCAGAATACATCAGTGGTGATAGAGGAAATTATGGCAAATGAACACAATCCAATTGGCCCCTTTAAAAAAAACATCAGGCCCATGTATTTTTAACACAAAGCTCAAATATTGTCCATAATCGGTCAGCAGTACATTTTCACTCAGCTCTTCACTTGCTGGCTGAGAAATTAATTGAGTTTGGATTTAGAAAGTCCAAACAGGGATGAATTGGCAAGTGGCTTCCAGTTGCTAATTGGTTTATGATAATTACTATGTAAATGTGATAAATTGTTTGTATTTTCAAAATGAAACAAAAGGCATTCTGTATATTGGAAAAGAAATAGAAATAATTTGAATTTTCCTTGCCGATAATGGCCATGTAAAAGAAGAAAAAAAAATCAAATGCCTTCAAGCACTTCGTAAACTTTTATTATGGCAATTTGGTGAGGCAGCAGTTCAGAGATGATTTATGGGTTCTGGCCGGTGAAGTCGCCTTGAGACTTTGACTTCGAACACTTCTCAACTTTTAATGTCTTTTTAAAGGTGAGTGTGGAAATGACATTTTTATTTGATAAATAGACAACTCACAGGAAATGTTGTGTCATTAAAAGGTGCTAAATGACATGCTAAAAGTTGCATCTCTAAATAACTAAGTACTGACATGCACAAATTCCACAGGAACAATTGAACTTAATAAAAAAACATTAATAATGTGTGATTTATTTTTATCTAAACTGGACTTATTTCAATAAAAGGATTCAAAAAAAAAATTTAATGGTGAATTTCAATTATAACGACCTAGACTTACTGTTTAATTTAGAGTGAGGCGATTCTCTATCTGTCCTCTGAATGTGCTTGATTGTTTTCATTGATATCCATGAATTATTCCTTTAAAAATGAACAAACATGTTGGAAAAATGCTCCATTTCAAGATGATTTTAAAAGTGGCAAACAATGAGCGGACCTGCTCCCGGATCGAGATCTGCCCAGAAATGTTATAGCTTCTTCCCTGATTCATAACACATTCATCTGCTTTTGTGGAAATCTGTCCAGTCCAGTCGTTCAAAACAAACCAATCAGCAAATAATAAGACGGGGGGGGGGGACATAACCGGAGGCAACTCATCATAACATTCACTGCAATAACACTTTAGTCGAGAAGAAGACTGATAAAGGTAACTTGTCTATTGAATATTTCCAGAGAGACATTATTTATTCATCATTCATTGGCTGCAAAATCTTGTGTTGATCTGAACATTTAATCACCAACTTATTTGCAGAAATTTATATTCAGGGTGTTATGGAAGAAAATGTCAAACTGAAGGATTACACAGTTTATGCAAGAAATCACTGTTGATGCCTAAAGAAAACATAAACTTCCATTCATTCATTATCTGAACTGTTTATCTGTGAGAGTCGCAGTGGGAGCTGGAGCTAATCCCAGCTGACTGGTCTTATTTTATTTATACATGGCTGCTTTGTCAGAAGAGTCTTCAGAAGTCAAAGATCACTAGAGTGGCAACACTGCTCAGGTACAAAAGCTACAGGTCACAGATAAACACAATTCTCCCACAGAAAAACAGCCTGATGCCAAATACAAGGACGAAGTGAGGCACTATTCTCGTGGTAAATGAAAGTGACCAAAGGATATTGGACATTTTGAAGGCTGGATATGAAAGCAGCAGTGAGGGGCAGCTTTTATCACAAGAGAGGAATTAAAGGGAAGAAATTCTAAGAATGTTTCTGATGAGACATGACAATGTTAAGAGGCAGATGTGTTCCTGATGTAGGCATGACCATGCTCTGTAAAAAAGAGCTAATTACACAACTTCTTTTCAGCTGCAGGTTACTGTCCAATCGACCATTCACCTTATTGTGTCTGGATACTTTGCAATGCGAGCTCAGTGATCGATATGCTGCAGAAAGCTCTGATCTCAACGAGAAATCTCACCTGCATTTGAAATCTTTGGGGGTTTTTTAACCACAAGAAGGTAATGACACTCGTTCCAAGAGAGATTGCTGCGCTAAGATCTATGACACGTTGTATCGGAAAAAACTTTTAACTTTTTTTTTTTAGGTGATTTCATGAGGAGTATGTTTTCAGGTGATGAGTGTTTGTGCTGTGGTGCATCTTTTGAGAGAGACTAACCCCCCATGTGGTTTTGTGCTTCAGTCTCTACGATGCTCTGTTTGACTCCCTTTTAAATAAATAGATTTTATAGCATGGAAAAGTGGAAGGTGAAGAAGAGATTAGGAAAGCAGCTTTTATTTGATTACTGTACGAGAGGCCTGACCTTGATGAATTTGCTGAACTTGAGTAGTGAACACCAGCTCCTGCGTCATTAAGAGAAAAGTCTTGATATGTTACATCTTATGTGATGTTATTTATGTGGTTACGAAAGAAAGAATGAACTGTGCAACCTGGATACGACGCCATAGACGGCGACAGTGTTTCTTTTACAAGCTTGAAAGACGCCACATGCTGAGAACATGCCGACTGAGAGTGCGCTGCTTTTTGCTGCATCCTCCCATGAATTTTTGATCTCTCTTGCCGCGCTGCGCCTCTCTGTTCTCTCATTAGAAGAGACAGCCAGCGTGGCCCCCATAGCTCTTTACAGTACATCCCAAATGCTATCATTAGCATTTTATTCATCGCCCTGGAAAAACTCACTGCATTTCAAACTCAACAACATTAGCTTTGTGCTCGTGGTCCTGTAACATTACAACAGGGCCATTAGCGAAGAAGCTCAACATTGGCTTTTGCCTTTTTTTATTTTTTGGGGGGGTCACGGGTGAGCGCCTTTGTCTACATTAATTACGGCTCGTCTAAATGTGGCTGCCTCCATACCGTCTCCATAGATAGGGACAGACGGAGGAAACAAGGACAACAGAAATAATAAGAACTTGTGTCCTCTGCAGGCAAGTGAAAGAGATAAAAAGAAAGCGGCCCCTCATATCTGTAATTTACACAGCGCTATCGCAGCATCGGGACGAGCCGGCGGTCTTTGAGCAGGCGGCCATCAGTCACACTGTCACACTGTCAGGAACTGTAGATGGAAATGGCCTGGCGGAGCGCTAATAGGCTGCACAGTGAAGTTATCCACTGGCATGGTAAGTGTCCTCAAGGCAGCATTAGCCATCTGCATGAAGCTAGAATGCCCCTTATAGCTTAATTAAGACCTCTTGTGTATATACAGGCCTCTAATTCATGGCTGTGACTTTCTCTTGTGTGTTTTGACAACATTAATCCCTGCTTTCAGTCTCACCACTGGTGGATTCATCCTCATGCACCAGGCTTGTTTCACACCCACTTGTCCATCATATACAAGAACTCTGAGAAGGAGACGAAAACAGAAAGTCTGTTCAACCCAACACTTTTTGAATTGTTTATTTAGCTCTAGAAGGCTGCAATTCAGGCTGCGGGAAATATCCAGAGGAAAGCTGTGCAGTCGTGGATTGAAAAGCAATGAAATTTGAAAGAAGTTACAAAACTCCAGAATGTGAAGAGAGACTGCCCAGTGAGGTGAAGTGAGTCACATCAAAACATAATCATTTACTCATTGTTTTTATATAAATTTGCCTCAACATGTCAGAAACCAGGAAATCTCTGCTCGTCTATCATCTATAAAATGAAGCATCTCTGCAGACTATGTTGCATTGACTATAAACAAGGAACATGTCAGCTACTCCAGATTTTACTGCACAGTTGGAGAAAATATGTAGAGATCTGTGAAACATCACAATCCATTGAGTCAGTTGGACTATCGCCTGAATACGAATACGTCTCTT